ACTAACAGGTCTAGCAGAGAGACATGGTGTTTTCTGGTGGCTTTTTCCAAGCTCCCAGGACAATTTGGGCTGTCGTCCTGGGTGGCTCACAGCCCCATCACAGTGTTATCTGTCAGAAACTCAGCAGCCCAAAGCTCTGCAGCACAGGCTGTGTGTGCCCTGTGTTTGTACCTGTGTCCAGGCTGTACCCCGGGTTTCCTGCTGGGATCCATGGTGTTAGAGCTGTACTGCCTGCCTGTTTCTCACGCTCCTCCCGTGTGCCTGGCCCCGGTGTCCCAAAAAGCCGCCAGGCTGCCGACAAAGCCAAGAGGCAAAGTTCATCCTTTTGTTCCGAGGCAGCGCCTGGCACAACTATTCCTGGTCCCTGACTCAGAGCACAACCATCTTTGAAATAAATAAAACTAAGAAGGAGAACATCTCTGGGCCTATATTTGACACTTGTATTCCCACACCACTTGGCTTTATATAAACATACAAATTGGTATGGTGGTTATTTTGACTCATCTGCTTAGCAATCTTTTTATTTTAATCAATTTTTATTTAACTCACCAGCTAGACAAAAGCTCCCTAATTTCTTCATCTGATTTAATTGATGTTCCCTGACAGAATGAAGCTAGCCTGGGTAAGACAGTACAAGCTGTGCCAGTCTTCTTTGGTTTGCATCTCTTTTAACAAGTCCTGTGACTGTCGCAGAGCCAAGGCACATCTTACACCTCGCAGAGGAATTGGGGCCATACGTGGCTGTGTACCCTGGGACAAGGAGCAACAAACACACCAAAACAATAAGTGCTGACACAATAATTAACATATTGGTTCTCCATGCAAATTACCTCTTCATGCATTGTGCAACACTTTGCACTGTCAGAGGACTTCAGAGGAGTTCCTTACAAGCACCACAATAATTAAATATGCGTCTTCAGTTGTAACATTAAAATACAATTCTGGGTGAAGGATCATAGAAAGAAACATGCACATTGTGCAGATAAAAATGTATGAGATATGTCTACCTGACACCCCTACACCGAAACGGGCACCATAAATTATATTCCTGAAGGAACTTTCAGACCATGGATATTTCAGGCCTTCTTAGAAGAACATTCTGCTTTTTATTTGAAGGAAATGATCTGTACCTTATGTCACCTCAACCTCATGCCAAGGGTGAGGAGTGGCTGCAAGTTGAAGGATTGCATCACAAAGCTCAATCTTAGCCCAGTACTCCACTTGCCTGGAAGGAAAGGTTCACTTTAGCAAATGCTAAAACACACTGGCTTTCAGAGGAACTAATTTTTCAAGCTCAGTCACAAATGCAGGGGGAAAAATGAACTCTCACATTTACATCAGTGGAATCATACAGTAACTATGATCCTGAAGTCAACACGTGGAAAAGCTTAAGTGAAGCAACCTGTAACTTGCTGCCCAGATTAGTTCATGCTGAGCTCTCTCTGCCAGCATTTAAAGTCTTTGTGAAATGCTAAAGTGTAAAGGGTAGCACCGTCTCTCAAGGCCAAAGTCAACTGATATTAGGAATGGGTACAGTAATTTTACAACCATTAACAGCATTAATGACCCTGTGAGCCAAGACAGAAAGCTGCCAGAAAGACCCAGAACTGCCTCTGCAAGGAGCAAAAATTGCCTTGCCTCTATGAGCATACTGCACTGTTGTAAAAATCATGTAAATATCTCGACTGCAGGCTGAGAGGGCAGAGCTGTCTGCAGTGACAGAGACAGATCCCATCCAGAGACAAATGTGACACCACGAAGCACCCACCAGGACACCTAGACTTGGATGTAAGCTGAGATTCATCAGAGCAGGGTGGTGAGTCCTACAAAGGGAGCTGCTTCACCACTGCAAAGTTTTAGGAGCAGGTCACCACCCTCTAATGGAGGGTCCTGAGGTTCATTGAGAAGACCAGAGCTCACAGATGGTGTCCTTCCCTCTCCCTCTGGTAATGCCCTTTTTGTGTCCTCACCTGTGTTGCCACAAGCCCACACTACCACAGCCTCTTGATGGATAAACGCCAGCTGCCAGCACCTTCAAAAGCTGCAGGTAAGGCTTTGAAGGGGAGCTTGGAAAAGGTCATGGAAAGACCCAGACCCTAATCCTGAGGCCTCCAGGCAACAGGAGACAAATGAATAAATCTCATCTTCTCCAAAGGCACTCAGACCTGCTCAAGATTTGTTCAGGCTGGGTTTTCTACACAAGCAAGTGGTACAAGGTCAGACACTCCTACAGCAGCTCTTGAAACCATTGCCTGTTCTTGGTCAAGCATGGCAGGACTGAGGATCTCTGTAATCACCCAGTCCCTGAGAATTTTCATGCAAATGTTACCCTTTCCTGGTTTGCACAGGGGGGCAGGACCAGAGGAGTTAGGGGAGCTGGCAGAGGACATGGAAGTGCATATGGATTCACTGGGTGCCTGTTCCCACAGCAGAGGAGCAACTGATTGCAGCTGGAATCAAAAAACATGCCTGCTCCAAGGCCAAATCCTGGCTTCCAAGCCTGCACATCCAGAAATGAGGGGAGGTCCCAGCCCTGGGGGGTGGAGTGGCACCATTTGGAATAGCTTTCATTCTGGTCCAAGTGCAATCCAGCTCCTCCACTCTGCGCCCCAACAAGTCCTGGCTGTCAGCAAAAGCTGCCATCTTTGAAAACTGCCTGTAATTGCAGGAATTCTGGGCTTGGAGGGAAAGGGGAGGGACTGGATTAAAAAAACACCTTGGGTCTCCGAAACACAGAAACCATGTCCGAGTCAGTTCAATAGCCTTTCATGGACTCAATAAAAGATTAATCAAATCATCCCCAATGAAAACAAGTTTGGCATCCTTGTGCCTGGGCTAGTGGCAATGCAAAATCCTCATATGCAGTGTCTTGCAATTGATGCTATTATTTGGGAAAGGCCTCAAGTACTGTCCTGTGTGGGGTAATAAAAAACCCTCCCCAAACCCAAAACGACGCACGGGCAGAATAGTGATAGAAATTTGCACTTTTCCTGCCTGTGAACAATAATTCATGCAGATAGTGCTTTATCAGAACTAATTTAACCCAGTTTTTCATTTAGACTACAGAAAAGCAAGTTCAAATAGGTTTCTCTAACACGAAGGACATCTTTTAACCCAACTTTTGCTCCTGTTCACCCCACCCCCACCCAATGCTATTAAATGGCTTGAAACATGACACAAAAATACATGTCTTATCATATCACTTGACTTCTCTCACTGTAGCAGCCCTTATCAACATTCAGCAGCCCTATTAATGCAGTCCCCTTCAATCAGTATGAAAAAGTAGAGCTCCACAGATCTGTGATCCATCCCTTCCCAGTATCATAGTCCATTTCTGGATCCAAATAAAGAGCAGGAGCTCTTTTAACGCCAGCAGCTTGCTCCTTTACATCTGGCCTGCATGCCCATGGTCCCCAGCCCTCACAGCTTGCTCCTCAGCAGATCCCTGGGCTGCCAGTCTCACATGAAGCTGTCCTTCCCCGGAGGCAGCTGCTGGAGCCCTGTCCCACCTGGCTCCTTCCAGTGCCAAGGCTGGCAGAGCCCTGTGCTTACCCCTTTGTCCAGCACGTACCTTTAGGGGAAGGTTTACCTGTGTAAGTTTTACATGTATTGCACTGCTAAATGCAAACTGCTCTGAAAATATATCAGAGATTTGCCTTAATCCTGCACTAAATTCTTGAGAGGTGTGATAGAATAAAGCACTAGAAAACCATTCCTCATTAACTGCCAGGATTTTTGTAGAAAAGAACTGTGGAGACCCAAACCTACAGAGACTACTGCAAGAAGCAGTAGTTCAGGAACTGTTCAGAAACTGTTCAGGAACTGGGAAGTGGACACCCTCAATGGGCACTAAATCTGAATTTGAGTAAATTTGAGTTGAATTAAATCCCACTTACAAACCAGAGAAACCCAGACTTTGGCATCTATACCTCTGTTCCTTTTAGTAGCAACGTGTTTACCATGTTGTAGTCCTCACTGGATATATTGGCAAGCCCTTTACTAACATTTTCCCTTGGGTTATTTTCATTTCATGGGTGGTTGAATTTAATTTAAGATTCCCAAAAAAACTACCAAATAATGTGAACAAGTGTTTTCAAAAAGTGTTTGCATCTCTCCTATTCCCCCCATGGAACTGGGGTGTCCTTGAGATATTACACTGGACCTTAGCCAACAGACTGAGAAATAGGATTGGCAAAAACAGAGGAAGGATGTTGCAACACACCAGCTGAATCTTTTCCCTTGGGGTTTTGAATTTGGTCTGGCCAGAGAGGTTGGCAGGAGGTGAAGGGGACAACCTCTCCACTTTTGCTCCACATGAAGGCAGGTTTGCAAGGAGGAAGCCTGTTTTCTGCAAATGCCTCTTGGGCAGAGTTTACACCAGGTTTGAGAGGTTATTTGGGGTCCACAGGACACCCCAGGGCCGTGTTTTTCCCCTGAGGCTTCATGGCCCTCTTTCAGGGCATGCAGGTCAGGTAGGGAGACACAATCTTTGCAGACAGCTTGTGTTGCAACACAGAAACTGCAATGCATGGTTGCTAGCTATGAAAAACTATCCAGGGAGAAGGTTTCTCTCTTATGAAATGCACCTCCTGCTCGTCCTGCAGAAATCATCCTTGCCCTTGCTGGTGCTGCCATCCCTCAGCTTTTCAGTTCTACCTTTGACTTCCTTACAAGCTTTTAAGAATGTCTCCACCAAGGCTGCTGAGCAGTGCCAGCTTTGCTGCCTTTCCTAAAATGTGCACTTTCAGTTAGAGGAAAAGAAACCCCAACACCAATCTCAGCTTCATAGTACTAGTGCAAATGGTTTAAGCTTTACTGGGGCTTATCAGATAGAATTCTAGCTAATTTAAAGTAAATTTCTATAGCTAGAGTGTTAGTTTATTATTTTAGTGCACTGTTTGGTGGTATAATTGACACATTAAATGGTGAAATTAATGGTGGAATGATCTTCCCTTCAAGTATTTAGTCATGTGTATAAAAGCAGAGAAGTTTGTACTTACCTGACCATTTTGTGTCTCTATTTCCAACATCATTCTCCAGTGTCTGAAGAATTATTACACACAAGAAAGAATCATTCTACAGTTAACTACCTGTGCTTTTTGTAGGAAAGGAGGAAAAAGCAGGTATTTTTATATTGCCTTTAAGAACTGTTACCATTGTAGGAATGGATAAATTTGGACCTAAAGCCCAAACACAAGTATTGCCAAATCGATGCCCTTTTTCTAGACTTCTAGTTTGCATTAGGCTGAACAAGAAACCAATTTCTTCTTAAGGTTCTTAACATTAACCCCCCCACACTTGGTACAACTGCAATTCAAAAGGTGTAAATTGCTAACATTTATGGAGAGACACTTATTTAGCTGTTAATATAGGTAATCATAGGTTCTCAGTGGCCTCTTCATGAAACTCTTCTGTTTCTTACCATCTGCACACATCGTCATCATCAGGGCAATTAGTGGTGATAAGGAAAACTGTAAGAGAAAACTTCTTTCAGAACTTTTGACTTTGATGTTTACAAGGCACCCTGTCTGTCACATGAGCATTCAGTCCACAGAACTTCATATTTATGTGAGGTGAACAACATTTTCTTGGGGAAAAGGAGCAAACCCCTCTTGCCAGTCAACTTATTAGGTTTTTGTCATTGTTTTGATGCAGTGATTGAGGCATGACTGGGGAGCAGGCTCTTCAGGAGCCGTGGATTACACAACACACAAAAAGCTTCATAGTGTCATTACCACACCTCTGTTTTTTTAAATACACTTCCTCCTGCTTTTAGGTTGGGTCCAGTTATTCATAGGGAACACCTGGCTCTGCACAAGGAAGCACTAAATCCTTTGCCTTCAAAGCACACAGACAGCAAGGAAGGTCAAGTATTACTCAGGGATTTCTCACCAGATCTTCTGATCAGATCTCTTATTTTCTCAGTAAAATGCAGCACATCATTTTTGCACGTTCAGCTCTGGAGCTCTTGATTAAACCAGTGAAGCTAAACCACCTCCCTGAATGTCACTAAAACAGGGAAACATAAAAATCAGCATCTAAATGTACCATGGAGCAACTAATCCCACTTAATCCCACCAGCCCCTGGAAGTCCCTTACGGCACAGGATGGGCAGGGACCAGCCGTGTCCTGCAGCCATGGATCATGCCAACCGCTTCACAGCCAGGAATGGCACCTCCTCGCCCAGGGCACGGGGTCTGCAGTGCCACAGCAAGCCAGGAGTCCCCAACACCCCACCAGTGGGACCAGGAGAGCAGTCAGCCACAGGGAAGCTCAGGTTTGCTTGTTTGCTCATTCTCTCCAGAGACCCTGAGTTGCCCACCCCTCAAAATACCACCAGCACGAGGGAGCCAAAGACTAATTTATCATTATTTGGAAGGAACTGCTCTAGTTTTACTCATAGGTAAGGGCAGCTGTGGATGAAAGAGCAGCAAGGACAAGGACAGAGCCCTGGCAGGTTTCTCTCCAGGTCAGTGCCCTGGGCAGGGCAGGCAGATAGGATCTGCAGTGCCATAAATCACCTCACAGCAAAGGGAGAAGAGAAACGGATTGTGAAATGAACTGTAAAATAAACTCCTAATGTAAACATCGCACAGGCAGGGGGTTGTTTTTTCTGTCTGGGAGCCCGAGTCTGGTACAGTTTACTGGCTGACTGTGCTGTGCCCTTGTTTGGTGAGGTTGCTGCTGGGCATGGAGGCAGCCATCGCTCTTGTTTGCCAGCAGCAGAGGAGGCTGGTGCTGCCATGAGCATCTTCTCGTCCTCTGGCATAATTTGTTTGCTCAGGCACCAGAGCTTTGCCCACAGTTGCCATTATGGACTGTCTGGATCCTCCTGGCCCAGAAAGACACCCTCCCAAACACCTGCCTTGGTGGCCTGGCAGCAGTGATGGGGACACCCCAAAAGGCTTCAGCCTGCATCTTTCACCAGGGCCTGGGTTTTCTGATAAGCTGGCGCTCACCCAAAGCTGCCTCTCCCTGAAATGTCCGTGCTCACTCCAGTCCTGCTGCTCACAGTCAGTGGGGCTTTGCTGCTTGCACCTTTTCCTGGTCTGGCCCATTGTCCCTGCCAGGAGGGCCAACACGTGCCCTCAGCAGGGAAAGCAGGCCAACTCCGACACAAACCTGACCCACTGCAGGAATATCTATATTTTCACCTGTATTTATACCTCTGGTCCAGAAGGAGTCAGGCTCCATGATCCTGGAGGGTCCCTTCCAAGTCAGCAGATTCCGTGATTCCGTGATTGTGCTACATCAATACCTCCCTGGGGTCGGGGGCACACCCTGCCTCATGCGTCAGCACAGTGGGACAACATTACCCAATACCTGTTACAGGCAAACCAGCAGAAAAGATAACACTTTGCTACTGTACGTAGAGACCTGTGCCTTAGGTAGGAATGGATAGAAGCCTCTGTGCTTTTTAAAATTTTTTTTGTCTTGTTTTAAAGCCGCTTTAAGTCCTTAAGGCAAGTCATAGGAGGTTAGAAGCGACCTCGGGAGATCACCCTCCTGCTCTGAGGCAGGGCCGTGGAAAATCCAGGCAAACATTTTGCTTCCAAAAAATACCCTTAATGAAGAAAAGTCCACACCTCTAGGAAATGTGTTAATTATCTTCATAGCTAAGAGAACATAACCTAAATTTCCTGTAGATGAAACACGGCTGTGTCCTCTCCTTAGTGGCTATGAAGGGTGGGGGGTTTTAAGTAATTTCCTTCATGAAGTAATGCATGAATGTGTCCCCTCTCAACTTGTTCTAACAAATAACATCAGCCTTCTCCCACTGGTCCCCATCCTCACTGCCCTGCTCATTCTTGCTCTTCTCCAGCCTGGCTTAAACATCTGAGGGGTCCCAGTGCCACAAGTCCACAGCAGCAGCTCAGACAGTTTCCACCTCATTGCTCCCACAACACCTTTTTTCCAGGGATGCTGCTTGAGCCCCACTTGGCGTTTGCCAGCTGGTCTCTCTCCTCAGCACAGCATCTTTGTCTGCTGAGTCTCACCTGGCTGATTTTCCCTCCCAGTTCCCCGTGCTGGCATGTGGTGGCAGTCCTCATTCTGCATGTGGCCCTTGCAGGGTGCTGGGCACATGTCCTCCAGCTGCTGGGCTGCCTCACCCTGCACCAGCACTCGGAGGCTGCTGCCAAATTTTGGGTTTCCAGGGCCCCGTGGCCATGGCATCCAGCCAAGGCTGGGTGGGGCAGGTGGCAGGAGGAGCAGGGGGACAAGTGTGGCACAAGATTAGGCTCACAGGAGAATAGAAGGGACAGTTGGGAGGGGAGATAGCACACAAGTCCTACTTTTAGAAATGCACACAGGCAAGCCAGTAGATATTGAAGTGCCTCGGTGAAAAAGCAGTTGTTATCTCCAAACTCCTCTTCTCTGGTCAAGCACCTGTGGTTTTCCTGCCAGGTGAAAGGTAGAGGGGCTGAAAACTGACAATTGGCCAAAAAGTTTGTGGGACACGGCGGAGAAATCCCCAAAATGTAGGAACTGGTCATTGTTTCCTAGCATAAGAGTCTGCATCCCATAATGGCCTACCCAAAATCTGGGAGTAAACTGCTTAAACACAGAGGGCTTCAGCAGTTTGTCATAATTCAGGTTTCAAACAAGAGTGGTCAGAACAATGTAATTTGGCACCATTTCTTTCTTCAAACATTTCTTTTGTCAGACTCTTGTGTTTCAGGTGCCAGATTCAACCCACATCTAACACTTCTAGTACAGCTTTATCCTGATACTCTGGCACGTGGGTCATGTCTGGGACAAGGCTAGACCAAAAAAAAATGAGTGTGACCTCTGAGTGTGTGTGTGTGTGTGTACACACACTGATGTTAGACAAGTCACCCTTAGATGGTCTTTCCTCAACCATGAGCTCACCCAATCTGCCCGTACGGTAAATTTGACCTTTAAGTTAGTCTTGAAATGCTGAACATGTGCCTACAGAGGGCTGTCAGTTATTGTGGAAAAGAAACAGATAAGCCCTTTGTTAGCTTATGGATGAGGTGATCAGCATTAAATGTTCAAATTCTGACAACCTTCAGTTGGAAAAGTTTGCAGATTCTTGACTCACTGAAATAGAGAGAATCAAAGGTTTTCAATCTTATTTTGCAGTTTATGGCCCAGGGAAGTATTGCAGGTCGCACGTGCAGCACTGCCAGAGAGCAGACACCCCTGTCAACTCTGCAGCTGGTTGTTCTGGGCTGCACCTGAACTGTGTAAAGTTACTTCACAATATTCATTTCTCACAGAAAAACCTGGCAGAGCATGAACAAAGAGAGACATTTCCTAAAAGAACATGGCATTAATTTCTTTCCCATTTATTTGTCTGTGGGAGTTTGCTGTGAAGTGGTGGGCTGGGGTCCCTTTGAGCTGCCATACCTGGTAAGAGGTCCACAAACCATTTGTAGTCTCAGCTCTACCTCTCCTTACCTTAGCAGACCTGTGAACACAGCCACCAGACCACACTGGCTGCAAGCTTCACTATTCCAGGTGAAGAAATGTCCAGGGTTTCGCCTGTGTTAGGAAAGGGTGGCTGATGCAGCTAGAGCAGCAAACTTTGTCTTCAGACTCAGGTGCTGCTTGAAGCAGCAAAACAAGGAGTGTTTCTTCCTAGTGTAGCTGGAATGGTGCGACTTGTGCTGGCAGTGAGTTCTTACCAGGTAACTGTGTTACCTGGGCTTCTTGCTTTAAAAAAAATAACCATGTCCACAATTTATATAATTGACCCAACAAACATTATAATAACTGGCCTTAGAAAAACAGAAAATGTAAAAAAGAATAAATAAAAGAAAATTAAAAAAAAAATAAGAAAAAAAATTTATTTACAAAAAGGGTTCATGAGGACTAAAAGACAGGAAGATCATTGCTGACAGCAATGAAAATCACTGGTGACTTTAGATATGGATTGAAGAATGACCAAAGGGAACGAGAAAATGGCTCAGATGCCCCCATGGCATTGTATCATTTAAAGAGTAGTATTTTACTAAACCCTTTCCACTTGTCACCTTGTTTTTCACTCCCGTGGGCTCACATCTCTTCACATTTCCTCTGCACCCAAGCAGAAACCCCCTTGGATGCATGGTCCATGAGATCCATAAGGTGGGAGCTGCCCACCCCCTTGCTCCTTACACATCCCTTTGTGGGGGAAAACCAAACCTTGAGAGTCTCCTGCCAACAGCAACATCATCTTGTCATCCCAGAGGCGCTCTCTTAATAAGGGAACAAAGCCTTGGCAAGGAAAGGGGAAGACATTGTGGAAAAGCAAAGATGTTCTGGTAGGAGATCTAAGAGGCTGGAAATGCAGCCACATCCCCCAGGACCCAGCAATTCAGGGCACTTTCTGCAGGCAACTTCTCACCTTGATGTCCTTTGGTGAAAAACCAAGTGAAATGGGCTCACCCTGAAGTGCTTGTTATGGGTGAGAAGGGAAGAGCAGCTCTGCATTGGTGTTACTCCAGGGAAACTTCCCACGTCACCACTCCCATCTGTGTGACTTGGCTAGTGCTGGCCCTTTGGTGACAGCCACGTGCCCAGGCTGCAGAGCAAACACAGCTCCCTGCACATCCCCTCTACATCCATGCCTGACCTCCCCTCTGCTGCCTTCCCCAGAGGCAGAAGCTTCAGAGAAGACACCCAAAGGTACTGCCTTGCTCAGGAAGAGACTTTGTCCTGTTCTGAAAGCCACTATAATTTTATAACTGCTATGACAGAGTAGAATTTTAACTTCAATTGTAGCTTTTCCATGGGAGTATGCTAGGCTGAGTGACAGTGCATGGCAAAATCTTCTGTATAAACGAGGCAGCCTCGCCATAAATTCTGACTAACAGATGCACGCTGAGGTTGATAACAATTTGATATTGCAAATATGACTCTCCAGAGAAGTGTGAATGACAATGGGTTTAATTTAATGAGTAAAAGGACTTTGGTTTTTTATTGTATGTCTTTTATGAATTGCTTTATTGCTTCCTAAGCAGTGACTTTTCTCCAGGACATTCATCCATGAATTAGTTAATGGTGTACAAGCCTGGTTAACCTTAAGTAAGAGAAGCCTAAGAGAGATTTAAGATAAAGTGCTGGTGAAGTATGAATTTTCTTCTGAAAGAACAAATCCAAGACAAACACCAGGCCAGTCATTCACAGCAGAGGCTTGGAATGGCTGGACTTCTCCCTTCTGGAGGGGAAGGTATCAGGAGCAGCTTCCTCTGCTGCTCTCCAGGGAGCACCTCTGAGGTGACTCTGCCAACTCACAACACTTTGTCTCCATCTTTTGCTTTGGGGGTCAGAGGTAGAGTACACCTGTATTTCTTAACTAGCACTTTGTAACCAATGCCATCCTTCTCCAAGGTGGTTAGGAACAGCAGAAGGAACCATTGTCCATGCAGCAGGTGAATCTTTAGAGAGGTTATCACACACCAGAGCAAGGTGCTGGTATCTGCTGTGTTTGCTCCCACTGATGTCCTTCCCATCCTCCCGTGCTGGACCTCGCTGCACCAGCCATGGGACAATTGAGGGTTTACAGTGGCCCTCAGAGCATGAAATAGAGCCAAACTCTGACATTCTGCGCTGCCAGGGTCCACAGGTGCCAGCAGCAGCCTCAATGCCCATTGCAGAGAGCACTGCTGGAAAGCTGATCCCCAGGGAAAGGCAACACGTGGGAATTGCTCTGTGCTTTAAGTTTCAGCAAAAACAAAGTTCTAAGGTATTGCCTCAAAAAGAGTGAAAATTGAGAGAAAATACTCCTGATCAGCATTGTATTTGTCTTGGAAGTTGGAAATATTTTTATGAGATGTCATGTATTTTTAGTTTTCCCCCATTTCACCATGTCACTCATAGGACATAGGCATCTTTAAACCTGCATGGCATAATGTAACATTAAAAGAATGTTACAACAGTTAACCTCATTCATGCCAGCTGTTCCTACTGAACTGGGACATTTTATCTCATTTTCTAGATTAAATCAGGTCCTTGGTATGCCATCAAACCATCAAAAAATAAAAGCAGGAAACACTTTGTTCTAGTAAGTAAATGTTTTGACATATGCAAAACTGCTCATGTCATGAGTATGCAAAGAAAATCCAGGTGCAAAAATAAAAATTCCAATCCGGAGATTCTGAATTTTGCCAGACAATTCCAAAGTTTCTCAAAGATTTAAACCACAGTAAAAAAAAATTTAAAAAAGCTTACTTGGTTTTTTTGTTGCTCTAGTGGAATTTTCTATGCTTTGTACTTATGTGATTAATGTATTTTCATTTTTAAAAATTTCACAGGCAGACCCAGTGGGAAAAAAAAGCTCTGTGGGCTGGGTTGGGCAGAGAGAGATGCCATGAGACAGCGCAGAAGCCGCTGGCAGTGGGATGAACGTGTGTACCAGCAAGAGCAGTATCTACTCCATCTGGCTTGGGCTCCACTTCATCCAGGAAGACTTCCTTTTGAAGGGGGAGATTCCAGCCATGATGGCTCCAACCAGTAAAAGAGGTAGCCTCTCAGATTTACTTATCTCAGCCTTCTTGAAAGCACCCCTAACTTCCTTGGCAGCCGTAACCAAACAAGAGCTGTAAAATACTGTTTTCCCTGGCCTGGCTGAACTCACGACTCAGCATATGCGGTGGGGAGCTCCCAAAATAGCTCTCTGTTGCCTCACCAGCCTCAGCAGCAACTTGAAAAGTCTTTTGCCTTCTGGGATAACTTGGAGAAGTTTTAAAATGTTTGGACTTATTTTGAAAGTACTGTGAAAGATAAGAATGATCTATTCCAAGGCCGTGTGAACTGAAGGTCACAGCTAAGGCATTGCACAACAGACCCAAGTAGGTTCAGCACAAAACTTGCTCAGGAGCTGATCAGATCATCTTCGTTGCTGTGGCCACCCCTGCCTAAATTCAGGTTAAAGCTGAGTCCCTTTGACTTGGCACCTCACTAGGCCAAACAATCACAATATCAGTGTCCCAAATATCAGTGCAGCAATACCAAGGCAGAGAGCCCGAGTCCTTCCCTGGCAGAGCCTTGTTGAAGAAGCCTTCTGAAAAAACAAGCAAAACAGCTCTGTTTGTGATGGGAAGCTGTAGTTGCTGCAGGACAAGTGCACTCTCACTCTGGCAAGTTTAATGCACACTTTCTC